ATTCACATTTCTAAACCTGTTGTCGAATGAAAAAGAACATTATAACCTTCTTACTCCACAACACCAGCCACATGTTTCCTTTTGTGATCTGATGAGGCTTCTTGTCACAGAACGAGGCAGAAGATATGTTCCATAGGCTACTTTAAAAAGAATACATCGATTAGCAATGGATTATAAATATACTTAATTATTATGAAAATACCAGATGGCTTGAATAACACAGATCAACTACTCCACCAGGTACAATATTCTTATTGTTTGCATCTTGTGTTTAAGCCCATAAATAATAATGTACTCGTTCTAATAAATTTATATTGTAATGTACTCATACTAAAATATTAAAATCATCTTAACATTGCTGGTAGGTTATCATTGCAGAAATCAACACACTCTCTACGTTTAAAAATAAAAATTAGAAGAGTTCTAAACTAACGCGCTGTCTTCACTGAACCTCACGCACACACACAGATCACGCTGCGTGCGCACAGACATTCTTTTTCACGTTTAGACAAATTTTTAGCGCTGCCCAGCAATTTTATCAACTAAATAGCTTAATCGCTGAAGATCTACATTATCTTTCTCAACAAGGAGCTGGTAACATCAATGTTTCTAAAGCAATTAAAGCCATAGCTTCACTGTTAATAGAGAAACGCGGCAAAACGGTGGTAATTCATTCTCTCTCTCTCTCTCTCTCTCATAAATGAACAGTTGATAAATCACACTTTTCTGAGAATAGAATATTGAAGTGGAGATCGCTAAACTGCAAGCTAACCGGTGTTTTCAGAAAGCAAGCGCGTTTATCCTGGAGAGAGAGCGCATGGTTGCCAGGTTAATAAAGATAAGTAGCACACTTAGCAGATATTTCAGTATTGCGCAAGTGTGAAGCTCTGTTTCGGGGATTACGTCTCTATGTCAGGCAACCCCGGTTGTGTTCCTCTGCGGCCAGATTAAACCTCGTTGTAGCCTATATATTATGCTCTATTCATTATTTCTTTAGAAACCTTGCACTTTTCTACTCCGTTTTAAACTGTGTTCTTGTATTGAAATTGACTGCTACAGGGCCGTGCAGCTGTATCGATACTTGTATCGTCAGATCTCTGTGACGATACATCGTCGTATCGAGCACAGCACTAGTGCTAATGTCCAATACATCATTTTTGGGGGAATTTTTTTTAATTTATTTTTTAATAAGTATCGGTTTAGGCACCAGAACTGTTTTAAAAGTATCGATTTGGCACCGGATTCGAAAAAAAACAAACGATACCCAACCCTAGTCACATAGTCCACACACGCATACTGCGTTCCTCCTGCGCTTGTTTGTTTCTTGTTTCTGATTTAATTCTATGTGTTTTTAAGAGCTTACAAGGATAAAAGTCGCTCCAGTAATGCTCAGAAATTCCCAGAAGCACTCGCAGGAAGTGATGTAACAATAGTCTTGTGTGTGATCTGTGAGCGTCTTATTGCACATTTTAGCATGTGCTGTCCTACTTGTGTTTTTGGATTTGCTGTATTTGCGTTGTGAGGAATATTTCATGTCTTTATGTGGGCGACATATCGCTCGACCTCTGCCAGATGCATGGGATTATGGGAAGGCAGTGAGGCTTCTCCTGAATGAACCCTCCTCATGGAGTCACAGCTGTCTGTGTGTGTGTGTGTGAGAGAGAGAGAGAGAGAGAGTGTGTGTGTGTGTGTGAGAGAGAGAGAGAGTGTGTGTGTGTGGGAGTGTGTGGGTGAGAGAGAGAGAGAGAGAGAGAGAGAGAGAGAGAGAGAGTGAGTGTGAGAGAGAGAGA